GGGGGGGAGGGAGGGAAGGGGTTATCATAATCTTTAAAGTTAACAGCTTCTGTTTGAGAGAGGGGGGGAGAGATAGGTCCCCCAGCATACCTCTGTCTGCAGAGAACGGATGTACTGCAGCTTCTGTTTGAGCGGGTCCTTGGAGAGGCCGTCCATGAAGGAGACGAGGCCGTGGGGGAAGTTGTGCTGGGCCAGCCAGGCCACTACCTTACGGTGCTGCAGGTCCGGCCGCGCTGACACGTACAGGATGAGGTAGCCCAGCTCCTGCCAGTGTCTGGAACATGATGGATTGCACACAGGAGGTGAGATACAATTATATTCTTTAACTTTTTAAACATGGAACGACGCAAACAGCATTAGTCGTGAAATCCCACAACATGACATATAAGTTAAGATTCAACTATTTGAAATGTTGTCTGGTGTGTGGATATGTCAAACATGTACAGGATCAGGTAGCCCAACACTTGCCAGTGTCTGCAACACGGTAGTGAGCACACAGGGTTAGATAAGATTTACAGTATAACACGGATAAGTCGAACACAAAAGATTCAAAATCACACATCTGTTAAATTGTGCCTGCGGTCCCATTTTTTTTCTTTTTTACATATTTGTAAGACATCCCTTGAACTATGGAACCCTCGAACCTCCTAGGTTGGTCCAAACAAATTTGAGCTATCCATGTTATACTGTAATTACAGTGGAAATTGTCACAGACAGCCACTCCTATAATTCCACCACTTGAGAACAAGCAGCCTCTTTCCCCTACTTTCTGTGTATCTTCTCCTACATCTTAGATCTTCACTCTTTGATTCTGGATTGCCACTTAAACAGTGTATTTGGCTCCGCTCTTCAGCAGATTGCTGTTTATTACAGTGTGCCCACTGGGGGATCAACACACCTTCGGCCGACTCGTCCCCTGACAACAAACGCGTTTGTTTTTAAGGGAGAGTGGTTTTTGTCATGATAGCCGTTTTGCGCCCTCAATCTAACAAGCAATTCAAACCGAACCACGGGTGGATGGTCAGCCAATGGGCACCACCTATCAGCCGCATTTTGGAGGTGCCACTTTTACCCATCCCAAGATCTACACCTCATCCTGTGTTACATATACCTCCTATTTTCACCCATCTACCCCTCGTACATAAAGACGGGCTCCGGCCCACTATGCGGTGGAAACCCCAGCAAAACACTGTGGAGCACAGCATAGGGCACAGTGAGGGACAAAAGACACTGCTGACCATCCACTGCATCTCGGCCTTTCCCCAGTCATCTCGACTATGTCCTGCCACTGGCTGCAGACGGGCCTGGACGAGAAACTGAGGCTGACGACCTGCGCAACTCTTCCTCACTGTAATCCAAGCCAAGCGAATGTCATGACTTCATTCATTCTACAGCGTAACAACATTTGCACCCATATTGTGATTCTCTGTCCAATTATGAATAGTTTGAGTGCTCAGACAAACGAATCTATCAATATTTGACTAAATAAAAGCTGTTTTACGGTAACACCCTTCCCTGCCTCAAATTGGATGAGTAAAATTCTGGAATCCCTTGTTTAGGAAAGGGTCAAAGGAGCAGGAACCTGTCTTAAAATATCGAGGTGTTTGGGAACAGAGAATTGTATCACGAGGTAATGGAATCAGGCGCTCATCAATTTTTAGACAAGTGGAGTTATTGGCATCATTTTAAAGCTTGTTCATTTGTCTTGCTTTCTGAGAAAAAATACTCATCTATCATGAATAGAAGTCGAGATATTTGCGATTGAAGGAGGTGGGGATCGCCTAGTTTCAGAGGTAAAATTAACCAGAAAACGGCTGCCAAAGTTTGGCTACTTCCAAAGCTTGAGAGTCCTTAGAAACTGTAATTTATATATTTTAGCGCCTTAAATCAACATTTTTCAGTAAAATCCAGGGACAAATATGTTTTTGAATGGACTTAAAGGTGCTGAATCAAAAAATTAAAATTCGATAAAAATTGCCAAATGGACAGAAAAATGTCAATTTCTTCAATTTCATTATTTTGAGGAGCGCCTGATTTCACCACGATGCCTCACAGTTGCAAAGGTGACTGACCTGACGACATCCACTGCGCCGGCTCTGACCTTGGGGTCTTTCCCCATGATGCTGACGCTGGCGGTGAAGGAGCCATCGATGCTGAACGCCACCGTCTCCGTCTTGGGGGGGAGAACCGCCATGAAAAAATCAACTGACGTATGGTCCCCTCTGTCAGAACAAACAAAGCAGGATGAAGTCATCACTTTTCTACAGCCAATCAAACTGAGCACATCATCAAAACATCTCTTAAAAGCAAATGTGTAGCTTTTTTCTCCTTGTCACACTAAACTTTCACTAGAAGGTATGTAGCTCATTGCTTCAACAGAAATACCAAAACTGTGTCCTATGTTCAACACCCAGGCCAAATAAAAGATTGGCTGAAAAAGAAGGAGGAGAGATAAGTCAACAGACGTTCGATAGCAAAAAAGGAGCAAATCATAACAGAGCACCCACAGTTACAAGGTTTGAACAAGTACCATCGATATTAAATACATTTTACAACTCCAATCAGTATAAATATTAAGAACATTTTTTAAAATAGCATGTAGCTGTCTGTCAGGCAAGGGATGATTCCATGTTTTACTTGAATAAAAACAGGTGGAAGGACTAGAACTTAGATAGCTGCTGGATCAGAAAAGTAAACGAAAAGTAAAAGTACGCAGATAAAAAGACCATGTACATAAAACCAACTGCATTCTGAGATGAAAGTCGTACAGTCTGCAAGTCTCTGAGCTCAACAGAAGTATGAGGAGACTACACTTCTACACTTTCACAAGCAGACTGACATTTAAAAAGAAACAAACAAACAAACAAAAAAAAACCTACTCACTTTACGACTAGCTTGACAGGGTACAGACCCTGGCTCAGTCTCTGCTCACTGGGAATTGTGTAGCTGAATCTACCTGTGAACGCAATATCAGTTTGTTTTGAGGATGAGCGGAGAGGGTGGGGGTAGGGGGGGG